CTCCCTCTAATATGGTATCTCTCATCCTGCTGTCTCTCCTCTATTCTTCCCCCTACTCAATATTTCTGCTCCTCCATTTCCTCTCCTCTACTCTTCTTCTCTTGCTCTTATTGTAGCAGCTCCCTCCCCCCCTACCCTCATGCTCCCAATTAGTTCAGGAGTTCATGCCACTTCCATGCCTAGGGACCATTTATCCCTTACAGTCCTTCATGTTTCCTAGTTTCTTTGGTGAAGAGGATTATAGGCTGGTAATCCTTTGCTCTATGTCTAAAATTCATATATGAGTGAGTACATACCATGTTTGTCTTTTTGTGACTGGGTTACCTCAATCAGGATGGTTTCTTCTAGTTCCATCCATTTGCCTGCGAATTTCAAGATTCCATTGCTTTTTTCTGCTGCGTAGTACTCCATTGTATAAATGTACCACATTTTCTCAATGTATTCTTCAGTTGAGGGGCATCTAGCTTGCTTCCAGTTTCTGGCTATTACAAACAATGCTGCTATGAACATGGTTGAACATATGTTCTTGTTGTATGAACATGCACTATTTGGGTATATACCCAAGAGAGGAATGGCTGGATCTTGAGGTAGACTGATTCCCATTTTTCTGAGCAACCGCCATACTGATTTCCAGAGTGGTCTTACAAGTTCACACTCCCACCAGCAATGGAGGAGTGTTCCTTTTTCCCCACATCCTCTCCACCATAGATTGTCATTGGTATTTTTGATTTTAGCCGTTCTGACAGGTATGAGGTGGTACCTCAGAGTTGTTTTGAGTTGCATTTCTCTGATGGCCTCCAGAGTTGTGGACATTGAATTCGTTTCTGATTTAAGGACCAAAATCATCTTTATAAAGTTGATTTTAAGGTCATTTTCTAGTGTTTCAGCTGCATCAGAATGTTCAAGTCTTGCTGTCATAGGATGCTGGGCTCTTGTGTTACCATATTGCCTTTTCTGTTGTGGATTGTGTTCTTACACTGGCATTTAGTCATCTTGGTTTGGAATGATTATAGGTCTAGGGGTTGATTCCTGAGTTTGTCTATGATGGATGGGTGTTTTGTTCCTTGGTGTCTGTTTCCCTCTGGTCTTCTGGATAGGCGTTCTAGTGACTAGCAAGTCTTTAGGTCCAGTTGGGTGTCTCCACCTGGGTTTTTGCAGCCCACAAGATCTCTGGAAATTGGGGTACCAATGTTGCCTCTGAGGTTCCAAGGACCTGTGTGGCCTCTGAGGTTCTGGGTTCATGTCTGGTCTCAGGGATTCCAGTATGGTGTTGCCTCCCATGAATCATAAGTTTTCTGCTGCAGTTGTGGGCTGTAATATGGAGCTCAGGAGAGAGGTGCACTTGGGGGCTGTTGGGCCAGCTTTATGGAGTGTTAACTGGCTATGGGCAGTAATTTGCCTTGAGTCCATAGAACTTGCCTGACCTCAGGTAAAGCAGAAGTCTTCTGCTGAAGTTGTGGCCAGAATATGGAGCTCACAATATGGGCTGTGACACAGGCTGTAAGGAGTGTTAGTGGGTGGTGGGTGATGCCTGGTGTCTTACCTGGAAGCTTTATCAGCTTTTATATACTTTCCTTCACATATATTACCTATAAAGTATTTTTTAGTAGGAACAATGATATTTCAATTAATTAACACAATAAAAAATAATTTATGTTTCATAAATACATGCTGCAAATACAAATAACCATATGACATGAGAGAGAAAATTTTTCTTATTTTTCTGAGGAGATATGTAACTAACTGAACTTTGGATGACTATAAATGCTGCAGGAATAATAAATGAAAAGTACATATCTTAAATACTAAGAATACCAGTTTAAACCTACCAATGTGTTTTAATTTTGTATATTCAGAGTTGTTCTTCATAAAAGCAACTGCAGATTGAGAACCATTTAATTTACTGCTTTTCCTAATCACATAATTATATGTCACTTAACATTTATGTATTTATATATCATCGTGTCAAAAATGATATTGAAACTTGTTTTCCTTGCAGGAATCAATTTACATTGAATTTTAAGTAAAAATTTAAAACAAAAACTTGTCATCATTGTTTTCTGATAAGGATTGTGTAAATATTACTCATCCTTTTTTAACAGAGTTTAGGACTGGGCTGGGGCTTTGATCAAGCTGCAGCACCACCAAAGATATTAATGAAATTTTACTCTCTATATAGTATTCTTGAGTCTAACGAAAGCCTGGTAGTTGTATTAATAATGGCTATGCTAATGCCGCTCACCCATTTCACACATGTGCATTTCCTAGACAGCACCTGTGATCTTTGTTCACAAGACTGGATTGCTTTTGGAAACAATTTCTATCATGTTTTTCGTGTACTCAAAACCTGGGGAGATAGTCAGTCTTTTTGTAAGGAACTGAAGTCTCAACTGGTGAAGATAGACTCCAAAGCAGAGCTGGTAGGTCACACACTCCTGCTTTCCTGTTTCTTTGTAACTGTTTGCACTGGGGGCATTGGTCATGAAGACCATGGTCTAGCAAACTGAATGTTCTGGAAGGCGTGTGACAGCTGCTTATGACTTACTACTTACTGTCCCTAGTGAGAAAATAGGGATGATTCTGAAGCATTTCAGTGTTTAATGCTACAAGCAAACCAAAGGAGTAAATGAGCTTCCACTGGCATATTCTAAATGGCTTACTGTGCAAGCCCTTGGGAGACTCACAGCTGCTATTTAGTAAAGAAGGAGCAGAGAACCCAGCTTATTAACTCATCCCTATAACCGCAGCACTTGAGTAGCTGACACAGGAGGACCACCAGAGTTTGAGGTCATTTGGTTTATACAGTGAGTTTCCAGGCTACCTTGGATTAGGAGGTGAAACCCTGTCTCAATTTTTTAAATATTCATAAATTAAACAAAATTCAACAAGAAAAGAAAAAGTACTAGAATTTTAGACTTAGTTTGGGTTGTAATTTTCTGTACTCAACAGGAAAACTTGCTATTCTTTGACATTCATGGATGGATTCTTCTCAGAACAGATGAAACTGATGGGTCCTGGTTGTGGGAAAATGGCACTGAAATAGAGCAAATTCTGTAAGTATAATATTTGGATGAAGTGGGCTTTGCTGAGGGTAGTGAGATTGTTACACACGTGTGTCCTGTCTGTGTGTGGCACAGAGGGGCATTCAGAAGACAGGAAGGAGCACTCTGTGAGAAGTAACAGAGGAAACATGTTCTCCCCAAGTAATCTCACCTTTGGAACATTTGTGTTTTATTCTGCTCACTCCATAGAGACATTTATACATCGTTTTAGGAAGTTTGTAACTCTAAAGCTTTGTACCAATTCTATGTTATTTGAATCAGAATCCTGCTTTCTTAGACACTGTAGGATTGGCTTGTGCTTGGTGTTTTCATTTGAGCTCACTGTTTTGCATCCCCATGACTCTCTGTTTTTTCTCTTTGGCCTATGCTTGCTTTAGATGATTCTAACTTTGAAATAAAAAAAAAATGTTATCTGCAGGGACCACTTCTTGATTTCTGATTTTGTAATTGTTTTTATACAGAATTCATGATTCAGGGAAGAAGAATCATAGTTGTCCTTATCTCAGTGGAAATCGATTTTATCCTGGTGACTGCTCATGTAAGAAAGCATACACCTGTGAGTTTAATATATCATGACACCTATTTCACTAGCACAGTTTTTATTAGACCATAAATAATAAAATATGTCTGGTACTTGTTGGTAATCTATGATTTTTACACTTGAGTTTAGCTAAAAGTCTAATAAGTGATGACTTTCAAATTTTGAACATTTTTTTTTACCGAACTGAGAAAATGTTGATTATTTTTTTTACTTTATTATTTTTATCATTTTTATTAGTTCAAATTAGAAACAAGCCTGCTTCATATGTCAATCCCTGCTACCTCTCCCTCCCTTCCTCCACTGTCCCCAACAACCCCCCCACCCCATTCTCCCTCTTCTCCCCAGGGAGGGTAAGGCCCTCCATGGGGGATCCCCTATGTCTGTCAAATCATCCTGGGCAGGGCCTAGGCCCTCCCCTATTTGTCCAGACTGAGAGAGCATCCCTCCATGTGGGATGGGCTCCCAAAGTCCTTTTGTATGCCAGGGATAAATACTGATCTACTGCCAGAGGCCCCATAGAGTGCTGAGGCCTCCTCACTGACATCCACATTCAGGAGTCTGGATCAGCCCCATGCTGGACTCCCAGCCATCAGTCTGGGGTCCATGTGCTCCCCTTGTTCAGGAGAGCTGTGTTAGTGGGTTTCACCAGCCCGGTCTTGACCTCTTTGCTCATCACTCCTCCCTCTCTGCAACTGGGTTCCAAAGTGCAGTTCAGTGTTCAGCTGTGGGTGTCTGCTTCTGCTTCCATCAGCCACTGGATGAAGGCTCTAGGATGGCACAAAAAGTAGTCATCAATCTCATTATAAGGGAAGGACACTCAGGGTAGCCTCTCCACTATTGTTCAGATTGCCAATGGAAGAATAGATGAGAACAGGATGAGTGATACTATAATAGAAGAAGCCATTATAGGTTCGAAGAGATCTGGCAGTAGGGAGATTTCTAGAGATCTACTTTATATATTGTATTGAGAGTGAGTATAATTTATCTTGAGGGTAATCACCTCTCTAGCACAATTTATATAGTTATGAATAAAATAAATAGCAAATACCATATATATTCAGTACCTTTGCAAAATCCAAGAGGCTCAAAGTGATAAAAGGTTCCCATTTCAGTTGCATGGATTTTTAAAAACTTATGTATGTATTATTCCTATATAAGTAGCAGGAGGTGCCACAGTGCACTTGTGAAGGTCCATGGACAACTTAGTGGAACTGGTACTTTTCCTTCCCCTTTTATGTGGATTCCAGGGATCAAACTCAGGTCCCTTTGCTTACATGACATGTGCTTCTTCCCAGTGAGGTATGTTGCTACTTGTTTTGGGAGTATGCTTACACTATGTTGTTCAGCCTAGTCTGTATTCCCAGGGCTCAAACTATTTTCAAGTCTCAGTGTAGTAGGTAGACCAAAGATGCCGCCCACCTCATCCACTGTGAGATCCCTAAGCAGCACACACCTTTTGAGATTGTTCGGGAGATATATTGATGATTCTGCATGAGACAGCAAGAACAGATTTAAAGAAAAAACAATAAAAATAACAAATGCTACTCAGGTTGAAAAATTAAGAAGCTTAGGATCTGGAGCTAGATTGATGGCCCAGAGGTTAAGAGTACTTACTGCTCCTTCAGAGACCACAAGTTCAATTCTCTGCAGCAACATGCCATCTCATATTAGTCTGTAACTCTAGACCCACTGGATCAGACACCCTCTTCTCATCTCCTGGCTTCCTGCACTCACATGATACACATACATACTCACATATGAATTCACAGATACATTAAAGTGACTAACGCAGCACAATATGGTCCTGACTCCATTTTGTGTTTGCTGAGACAGTTCTTGTCTGTCTCCACACCAACAACATCCACCCTAGAAAAACAACTGAGATTCCCATTGCCTGGATGTATTAACCAAAATAATTAATGTTTACACAAAGGTAACCTTAGTTAAAATAACTGAAGAAGGTATGATGCGAAATTAACTGTCATCCCGTGTCTAACGTATTTACTGTACTCTTGTAGAAATGAACATTTCAAGGATACTCTGACCCTCATCTAACATTGATGTAAATTATGGTATTCTTTTTTTTCCTTTAAAAAAGCTTTATCCCTGAGCTTCAGCTTCAGGAGATGTTGACTGTTTCTTGTGGTCAGCTAATAAAGGACTCATATTTTTATTACTTGGCTTAATCACCATGGTTTTCTATATCTTTCTTGTATGAGTTATTATGATATAAAATAATGAATCAACTGATAAAAAAGAAACTCAGAATCTGGCCACAGTTGTAAGATATGACCTTTTCCAGAGAGCAGCTAACACTGCACTTTCAGCCATTTAAAATGTGACCTGGTGATGATGAGACAACAAAACCAAAAAGGGAAAACAAAAGAAAGTTCTTGGGCTAAAAGTTCTATAATTAAAATATAAAATTATAATTTTTCAAGTCTATGAAGAAATAATGGCTAACAGGTCTCCACCTGGAGTTCTGAAAAATTATTTCTTGCATTAAAATACAATAAGCTGTGAAAACAGGAAGAAGAATTTTAGAAAGGAAAGCCAAAGCTATGAGCACCATTGTCCCACAACTGATACTTAGAGATGATGAATGTAGGGCTGGAGAAATAGCTTACTGCTTGGGAGCATTGACTACTCTTCCAAAGGACTAGGTTTCAGTTCCCAGAACACACATGGAAGCTCACAACTGTCTATAAGTACAGTTCAAGAGGATCCAATACTCTCTCTGGTTTCAGAGGGCCCCAGGAACACATATGGTATACACAAATTCAAAGGCCTATACACATAAAATAATGATTATGACAAAGATGATGATGATAATGACTATACATGGAATAATGGTGATGATGGCAAAGATTATGATGATGATGATGATGATGATGATGATGATGATGATGACTGTGTATGGAGTAATGACGATGATGGTGATAAAGATGGTGACTATATATGGAATACAGACAAAGAAATTTTCCATAATCAATAGAACAATGATATAAATATTTTATATCAGAAAGCAATAAATTAAAAGCCTATTCAGATCTCTGGTTTGTTGTACGAGACACTCAGTGCTTTGAAGTAAAGGAACGTGGCAGATGTACATGAGAGCCCATGATTGGAAGGAAGGACTGTTGTGAATCTGTCTTCTGGACATTGCCATGTGAAGGAACACCAGCCCACTCAAGCATTTGGCTCAGCCAGGCCTTCCCCTTCCCCCCATTCCCTCTGCCTTGCTAAAAATCATTAGATTAGATTCCTAAAGTTAGCCACCAAGGATCTAGTCCCTTAATTGACCATTTCCTCTTCTTGAGGCTAACAACCAAAGTCCAAGAATCAAAAGCCCCCACCTTTGATCACCTAATTAACATGCCAAATTAAAATTTAAAACCTCATCCTAACACAAGATTTCCACTTCACCATTATAAACTTCTGTTTGCATATGTGCCATGTCTATCTGCCTCTATCCAGAGGCACCTTTTATAACTCAAGAACAAATACCTTTTCTCCCTTTCTCTTGTCCCAGGCTTGCCCTCTGTATCCACTAGATAACCAATCTGAATGACCACCACCCTCCTAAACAGCTCTCTAGAATCTAGCACTATTCAGGATATTTATAACTCTTGAGACCTCACAGGAAAATATAAAGACATCCTTTTGGTCTCTGCTATTTCTTCTGTCTGTTGAAAGCCCTCTGTGTGACTCCTACATTCTCTAAACTCTTCTAAACTCTGTGGTAAGCCTTTGTGCCATTCATGTTTTATTTAATCCTCTGTACTCCAAGCCACGGGAGTACTGACTGCCAGGCACTCTGGGCCCACCACCTGCTGCTCTGTCCCTGATGCCGAACTTGCCCCCTCTTTCTCCTCTGTTATCTTCCCAATAATCTCCTTCATTTGCCAATCTCCCTATACCTCCATGCACCTGGATTCACCAAGGCCAGACAGATCAGTTTCTATGTCCTTGGCTTGGCTCAGAATCTATTGATTAGCTCTCACAATCTATTCCCACTCCAATGTTTGCCACCATCTCAGATTCCATCCATCCAAACTTCTGCTATCAAAAATTCATCTCTCACATTTCTTCCCTGTCCTCTCTTCAATATTACCACACTTATCCCTTTGTCTCAACATTCCCCAGATCCTCTACAATCCTGTCCCAAACTCTCAAAGACCTCCTATACAATCTCACATACAAAAGGGAATTCTTTATCTATTTCTCACTACATTTTTTATGTGGATGACAGCTCTTTCCTCTCAGGTGGCCACATAAGACTGAACCCTCCTCATCAATATTAATCCTCACCTCCAGTTCCTACTCTCTCAGATCACCTTTCCTCACAAATCCCATCTCTCTTCTTATACTCCTACTTTTCTTCTGCTGTTATAATTGTCAAACTCCACCACCAACTGACCTCCTTAAATGCATTAACTGTCCAAACATCCTCAGGCATCACAAACTTTAAACAAATCCTATACTCCCAATTACAAAACACAGTTTAATCCAAGATATCTCCTCTCTGATACACACACACACACACACACACACACACACACACACACACACTAATGACCAAGCACTTGCTCAGGTCAACCCAGCACGTTCTCTCAACTTCACTGATACCTCCTTCAATGTCTCCCACTGCTTTCTTGGTTCCTTTCTTCAATGTCCTCCCCGCTTGCCTATCACAGTTCCTCTCACAGGTAATGCTGCAGTCACCAAGGCTCAACTACCCTCTCAAGACCACTTGTCCCTAGCCATCAGAACTCTCTTTTGGCAGTCAAAAGACATCCTTTTGGTCTTTTGTGCCAAGGTCTCACAACCTTTCAAGCCAATCCCCAACATCTGCTACAGATTATCCCTCTGTCAAAGCCTCTCAAATTGTACTCTTCCCTACACAACCAGACCCTGAATTCAGATAACAGCTGTTTCCCTATTAACCTAGTCAATTCCCTATTAACATAGTCAATCTAAATTGTCCTGGTTCCTCTCAAAACTCTCAAACAGTCCCCAGATAAGTACTTCTGCC